TATGTGTGTGTTTGTGTGTGTGTGTGTATACACGTGGTGGAACACCAAACCAATGTGCCAGGATCTGGACAATAAAGATGTATCTTATCTTATATACACACAAACACACGCACAGACACACTCACACACACGCTCATTCTCTCGCACACACACACATACGCACACACATACAAACACACACACACACAAAGACACACACATACACAATGAAAAGTAGACAAAACATTTTCTTAACCTTATCCGTACGCCCTTGGGTTATTTTGTACCTCGGGGTGGTATTCTTCACATTTTAGAATACTTCTAGTGCAAAAATCTCTTTGAAACTTTCAGTATTTCTAAAAAAATCACTTTGACAGACTGCTGTGCAAAGCGTACGTATCGGAGTAACGAGTAAGTTTCCTCTTTGAAAAGTGGTGGCACAGAGTTCCCCACGTCGTATGGATACAATAGTACAACACGACGTACGAATAGTGACAAAACAATTGGCGAAATTGGCCTTGCCCTTCATTAAGCATTTCCCGACAACGGGCGGGTGCTTTTAGTTTTCAGAAAGAGTTTTACGGCACTTGCAAACACACATAGGTTATATGAGTTCTGAAGATTGGAGTTGTTACAAGAGAGTAACGTACATTTATAAGAAGAACTTGTCAAGACGAAAGATACGTACAATACATATTTTACACGACAGGAAAGACGTCGCAAACCACACCAGAGCACATTCACAAACCGCCCACATCGGGTTCTGTCCCTGCATATCACTACTACAGAATTACAAAGTTCTGTATGACATTTTTGGCCGTTATGAGTTATTAAAGACCATGACATAAAAAAAATTGAAATGTTCTATAATCTTCTCTGTCAAAATCGTACGATTATTCGGAGTCGTTATCAAGAAATTATTCAAAGAATTGCTTGCAAAAAAAAGGATGACATGTTGTGAAACTCAAAATCTTTGACTTCAAATTTCTCAAATCTAGGTATTGAGCAGATCGAAGTCTGTAATTCTCAGGTGGCGATATAGTAAAAAAAGACAGACCCCAACATTCAAGTGGAGTTACACGATGATGTGTTTCTTATAGTCTGAGTTCTATTTTTACTTTTAAATATAGGTTTTTTACGTCCCCATCGACACGATTTAGAATCTAGAGTGTTCCTACTTGACAAATCATAAGTTTAAATTGGGAAAATAAGTTGGTAGATGTACTGAAACACATAATAGTGAATACAATATTTTTACTATAAGGAATAATAATGATATGCCGCTGTTTCGTCTCTGGGAAATACTCTGCAAGAAAAGGGGGCTGAGAATGACCCC